TTATTCACAGTTTAATTTGATTTTTTTAAAACTTTCACCTCAATCCACTTATTATGGTCCCAATTCACTTTGATCATATATATAAAATACCAAATTCATGATTTATTTTTTGCTTATTTTTACATCTTTCTATACTTTAAAATGTTCATATTTTATAACTAAAGTCACTTAAATAATTACAAATACTTAAAAAAATAGGTAAATATTAGTAACCATATTTATTACTTTTAAATTAAAGTTTAAAATATTTAATGTATTTTAAAATGATTTTGACAGATGTCTCAGTCATGTAATTATAATTCTGCCATTTTTCGAAAGTTCATGAGACACTTTTTATATTTAAAAAAAGGTTATATAATACGATTGTATTGAATCAAAAATTGATAAATCCAAGCCAAGAAAAAAAAAAGAAGAAACAAAGAACCAAAGAAGATGTCGATTATGATTAAGATAACAATGATAATGGCTTTGGTTATAATGGACGTGAGAGCAAAAACTGTAACTGAGTGTCAAAAAACAGACTGCAAGTGTCTCTGTCAGAACATGACCGATATAGCTTGTACTAATTGTCTCTTCAGATGCACTTCTCCTCCATCTTTTAAGCACTCCAACACAAGTAATCTCTCGCTCTATCAAAAAAACAAAGAATAGTTTCTAATGACTCCTTATAATCGGATTTCGTGGCATGGCTTGAATATGCTAAACACTATTTTGAAACATATGATTTAGATAGTTGTATTCACAAAATATGTCAATGAGTTGTAATCAATGATGTTTACAGGGCCGAACCAATTGAAAATGACCCCGAAGATCTGTTACTATATTTGCTCTGGAGGTTGTGGTACAGACAAAAGATGTGACCATCGTTGTAAACAATGTTGTGGTTGGCCATCCCTCGAAGCATCTTCATCACTGATTTGAGATTCTTGGGTCTTAGACTGTTGGAACTTTTGTTATATTTATCTTCTTGTTATCTAGTTGTTTATTTTCTAAAAATCTTTTCATGTTGGGTTGTAATTTGACATTAAAAGGTTTAATATAAACAAACTAAAATCTAATAAGGAGATCATTTTCTTGGAAGAAATGTGATGGTAACATGTACGTAATTTCTGAATGCTTTTAAGGAACACCTAGATAAATCTATACTAGTACTTTTGCAGTCTCTTTTGAGTCGGGTGGGTAAAATTGTTCTCGGATATTTTGGATACCGGACCCGTTTACAAATTTTGGTCATAAAAAATTTGTTGGATCGGGTTATATTTAACCCAACTCATACACCGGATATTCCATATTTAATAATTTAGATATTTAGAAAATTTGATTAAGATTTAGAATTATGATTCTCCTATTATCTTTGTTTGATTTTTTTTTTAACTATTTTGAATCATCATATAATACATAAAGTAAATAAAAAAATTTAATTTTTTTTCTACATATACTGTGATTCGAAATTTTAAAAACGGACATATATTATCCAATTGACGAAAATGTGTGTTCAACGTTCTATATCGATTAAAATATTTCGACAATGATTCAGAATTATATCATAAATAAGATCAACATTAATAAAATAAATGAGTTTTTTGGCCGGACGGGTTTGGCGGGACAGATTTTTGAATCAACAATAATAAAAAGATTAAAATATCATTAATCTGCCGCTTCAATACGGATTAAATCCTTAATTTTTCTTTAATAACACCAATATTAGACATATTAAATCAGTCTCATTTAGAAAAGATTGTATAAAACCAAAAATTGTCCCATGGTATAATGTTACTTAATAACAATTGTAAACTATAAAATATAAATATCTTAGAAAATGATACAATTTGCAAACTTTTATATATAATATATAATTGTTAAATTTTAAAAATTACTATTTTTAGAAAACAAATCACGGGACGGGTTAAGAAGTTACATGACGGGTTATATTTCGGAACAAAGTTATATGGTGGACGAGTTTGAATCAATATTTATAAAATTTTAAAATATCATTAACATGCCGCTTTAATACAGATTAAATCTTCAGTTTATTAAAATATAATTGTCTTAGAGAATGATATGATTTGTAAACTTTTATATATAATAAATAATCATTAAATTTTAAAATAAAAACAAATCACGGGACGGGTTAAGAAATTACGGAACGGGTTATATTTCGGAACGGGTTTATATGACGGACAAATTTGAATCAATATTTATAAATATCATTAACATGCCGCTTTAATACGAGTTAAATCCTCAGTTTATTAACAATTGTCTCGTGGACTCGTGGTATACCGTTACTTAATAACAATTGTAAACTATAATATAAATAAAAAATTTATAAGGAGATATAATTTATAAAATATTTTCATACTAACTTTAAAAATAAATCATTCCGCGGTGTACCGCGGGTTAAAATCTAGTATATATATATATATATATATACACACAAGGATAAACGATGATTAAAAATATATATGCTTAGAGAAAACAAAACGACCATGTACAAGGATAAACTCCATCTGTTTATAATTAATCCAAGTTTTAAGCTCTTCATACATATTAGAAAAACAAATTAAAATTTGATTATAATGCATCATCTTTTTGATTAACAATTTTCTGTAACTACAAGTATTCAATTATTTTTCTTTAAATTTACAATTCATCATCATTAACTAATAAAAATGCATTAAAAACTTAAACATATATCTTTTCAAACAATTTAATTTTATAAAATTTGGATTAATTAGCAACATAAAGAGTGTTATCTATATTAATTGACTAATGGATCCCGGCACATCCATTCTTCTCAAGCAGTCATAAATTTAAAGTTAAGTGTGAAAACATTATCCAATACACAGTGTTGTGGCTGCAGAGGGAATAATAATATCTTTGTACAATGGTTCAACCATTCGAGATACTACAGAAGGCTAACTAAATTATTTTTAGATAAACTATGCGACTTTGAAATTTGATTATAGTCAAATATATGATATAATGCCAGCTGTTTGTTTATCTAAAGCCAAAAACGAGAACTTTCTACATACAAATCATCTCATAGATCTCGTAGACTCGCAATACATGTTGGTAGTCGTAAATGAAGACGTAGCTGCACGCTTAGGGAATCACCTTCCATAGTTGGAAAGCTAATCCATTTGAGATTATTAGGTTTACACATTGTTATGTTGGTCCAGACGAGGAATTGATTCCTCTCAAGCGCGAAATTGTTTAAACACTTCCATATGGGCAATCGAAATAATTTCATGTTTTAAGCGTATTAAAAAAATCCGGTGAGTGGCTATTCGAATACTATACTTATCCTGTAAGAATTAGTCGGGTGATAAAAATCTAGACCACCCCTTGATTATCAAAATAATAATAATAATAATAATAATAATAATAATAATAATCTATATATAATAGCAATCTAATAAATACCATTTGCACATCTGAACAGTTGCGTCTTTTTATCGCAACTTTTCGTTAATGTTTTTATTAATTAAAATATATATTTTACGGTTATGTTTTTTTTTTATAAATTGCATTCTGAATGTTTTCTACGGTTGCGTTTTTTATTGTAACTCTTCATAAACAGTTGAAACCGCTTATTCGAATCATTGCAATATTTAGTTTATTTTACGAATAATTGCAACATTTGGTTTATATATTTAGTTTATTTCACGAACAATTGCAATTTTTGGTTTATTTTATAAATAGCTATAACATTTAATTATCTACCGCCGCGTCTCTCGGTGTAACTTTTCATAAATTATTATTTTAATTCTTAATTTTTAATTACTAAAATGTATTTAAATGAGATTGTAACTATTTAATTGAACTGTTTCAACATTTAGACTATTTGACGAATTATTGCAACTTTTGGTTTTGTGTTACGAACCATTGTTATCTTTAGTATATTTGATGAACTATTGCAACATTTGGTATAATTGACGAACCGTTGCAGTTTTTGGAATATTTGATATCTACGGTTGCGTTTCTCGGATAAGTTCGTCATATTTTAAAAAAATATTTAAATACTAAAATAAATGAATTGTTGTTACCGTTTAATTCAACACAATAGCATTTGGTTTATTTGACGTTGAACGTTTTGGCTTATTTATCAAAGCATTGTAATATTTGGTTTATTAGTTTATGCTTTTTGCACTTGGAAATAGTTTTTTAGTTACAAATTATTGTTTTTCTAATATTAATATACTTAATAAATGCTTGTGAGGGTTTTCTTTATCATAATTTTTGTAAAATATATATTGATTTGTTATTAAAAAAATTCAAGATTATTACAATTCATTATGATTTTTTCGTTTGATATTTTTTTAAATGATTTTTGAAATATATTCTCCCGCGACATCGCGGGGGCCCTGAGTCCTAGTAATAATAATAATAATTTAGAAAATCTTAACTGCATGCTCTCCCAACCATAGGAAGGCCCAGGTCTTGCCTCTAGGCATCTTTAAGACGTTATATATGTGTTTGTGGAGTTCAAGTTGATCTCAGGTCAAGTGGGCACTTATTCGACTGTCCAAGCAAACACTACAACAAATATCCACATTGTTAGCTCACGATTAACGCTATTATATGTAATCAATAGCGTTTTTCTAAACGCTATGTCTGCCCCAGCTATAATAGAGTCACACCGTACCGTAGCGTTTTTTATTATGCTATAGTATGTTCATATATTATAGCATTTTTTGAATGCTGTAGTATATTATTACATAACATTTTATTTTTGCTGTAATAGATTATAATATAGCTTTTGTTAGGGGTTATATGATGCTAAAATATAACATTTGGTATGTGTCTTAAGATATCATAACACAGCTTATTTAAACCGCTGTATGATAAGATAATAAAATAAAACGTTTAATCAAATCATTCATATCCAAAACCTGCAGAATCAAATTGTGTTTACCTAAACCTAGAATCAAATAATTCAAATCCAAACATGCATTAATACATAAAGATCCAACCATACATCCGTTCACAAACAAAACATCCGTTCAAACAAAGTTTTAATACCAAATATCACAACAACAACCAAAAGGTTCAAAGTTCAAAAGAGAACCACTTTGTCCTCTGGCCATGCAATAGATGAACCTATTGCATCTTCCATAACCTCGATTTCATCATCAGGTCTCCAAACAGCTGCATCTTTAACTTTGACAACATCGACCCAAACTCGTACTCCTTTTGGCCCCAAGGGAACAAAGTGGACAACTTGGTCCGGATTGTTTGAAGACCAGCGACCTTCGGCAACGACCTGCTTCTTCCCAGTTATAGCCATCAACTTACACCTCTGATTTTCCATTGAAACTTGGTTTGCCTTCTTACGCTGCCAACATGTAGTGCATAATATTTAGCAACAACAACAAGGAACTTAATCAAAATAAAACTGGTGATTATGAATCAACATATTACCGGAGATCTCCTAACGACAGGTGATTCTGAAGCACTTTTAGCTTTTTTCACAGGAGGTGATGGAGTTGTTGCAGATTTCTCAAGCTGAGATGAGACTGTTTCCCTCTGTGGAGTTGCAACCGGAGATCGTGACGTCGTTGCATCTCCCTCTGATGTTGTTCCAAAAACAACTCTTCTAGCAGGCCATGCTACAAATGACTTCAAACAGTCCTCAATGGTTTGCAATTCTGCAGTAGGCCTCCACAGAAAGGTCTCCGGTCGGTGTACCACATCCACAAATACTTTTACAGCATTTGGCCCGAGAGGAAGTCCATTAACCAATGCTTTGCGTTCTTGTGTCTGCCACCGCCCTTCAGCAACAAGAACTTTTTCGTCTCCATTCCAATCCATTAGTTTACACTTATTAGCAGAATTTGTGCTTGGGCTCTGTGGAACAAAAGAAGAAACAAATGAAGGCAGATACAGTTAAGCATAGAAAGATATATAGTCATCAAAACACATTAGAAAGTACTACCTTAGGGACAATATCTTCTTGGTCAACATCCACATCTGTAACAACACAATTACTGGCAGGCCATGCAATCAATTCTCCAACAGCTTGGTCCATACTAAACATGTTAGGTGCAGGTCTGAAAAGGAAAGCATCTGGTACTCTGGCAGTTTCCACCAAGACTTTAACACAGTAAGGCCCTAAGCGTACGCCATTAACTAAGTCTTCAGAATCAGAAGATAAAAGTCTTCCTTCGCCAACAACATCATCAGTACCATCCCAATCAATAAGGTTACAATTTGGATGTCCTCTTTTATTCACACTCTACATGAAAAAGATAGATGTTAGATTAAAAATAAAGCCATAATCAATGTTTAACTAAAAAAAACTACATGATTATTACTTACTCTTGGAGCTGAGTTTTCACCTACTTCAGCATCTCCCCTCTGTGGCATGCATAAAAATTATATGGTTACTTAATCTTGGAAGTATAGAAAAAGACAGCAGTCATTTACGCAAGCATGAATCTTTCTAAAAAGACAGCAGTCATTTACGCAAGCATGAATCTTTTGATAACCCATATCAAAAGATTTTAGAAATTTCTTTACATCATATAATGATGTGTGAAGTACATTATCCTTCGGTAACATGGCAGACAATATCTCAAGTAGATCATTGAAGCTTTTGTCTGACCAGCCATTCTCTGTCTTAATTCTAAACAATTCAACTATGGCTGATAGCTTGCTATGGGAAAGACAGCTTGGATATAATGGGGTTTTTGCATCAGCTAACTTTTGAAGAAACTCATCCTCTAACTTGTCTTCACCCTCAGCCATCTCACATTTCCTAGCCAATTCTTCATCTAAAAACTCAGCAGCTTCATATAACCCACAAATCTCATCGTTCCACTGGTTTACTTTCTCAAATTCAGTCCTTGAGTTCACCTCTCCATGATGATACCAATCCGCCCGCAGTTTGTATGCCTCATCCATTCCTCTTGTTACTAAGTGATCAACGACAACACTCTCCGAATGACGGTCTACATTTCGACAGTCAATGCAAGGACATACTATCATGTCACCGTCTCCTAAAGCATCACTCACCGCTCGAACAAACTTCCAAGCTCCACTTTCGTAAGCAGGATCCACTCTTCAATGGATTTGAATGAAAAAAATACACAAACAAAGAATCTTAAAGTCTCTAATCCCCTAATGAAACATGATCTACATATATAATTTACTGCCATACCTGCAGAGATGAACCCATCTCTTATCCAGCATTGTATATATGTTCTAACCTTTATTAAACCAAGAAGCACTACAATTCAAACACATAAGCAAACAGATATATAACACTAAGCAAACAGAAACGCATATCAGTTTACAAACTATGAATTTCTTTTTCAGACTAACATACCAAATAAGAAAAGACAAACTTGAATCTAAACACAAACAGATATATAAAACTAAGCTGACACAAACTATCAATTTCTTCTTCAGACAAACATACCAACTAAGCAAATACAAACTTGAATCTAGACACAAACACAAATATAAAACTAAGCAAACACAAACACATAAGCAAAGAAACAGAATCTCAAACACAAGCTCGAATCTAAGCAATTCATTTTCGTTTTCAATTTCATTGCCAGCAATCCATATTATCCCAAAGTTTTGAACCCTAATCCTCAATTAGAAACACAATCTCAAATTAATAATATAGTTTTAAACCCTAATTCTCAATTAGAAACAAAATCGAAAATAACTTACAGCTTCGTTACTTACAGAATCTGAAATCTGTTCCTTCTCTTCCTTTCAGCTTCGTCTCCTTCCTTGATAAAGAGCTTCAAACCTCGCAATAAGCTACAGACCTTGAAATCTCACAATAAGAGAATTTAATTAGGGTTAAGGAGACTGAAAATAGGAGCAGCTTGAATGAGAAATCAAATCGGATGGAAGACTAACCCAGTCGAGAAAACAGAAAGAACAACAGAGAAGACGAGAAGTCTGGCGAACGAGAAACAGTCGGAGCAGAAGAATAGAGCTACGGAGAGGACGAGAAGTCGAGAGAAACCCAGCTCCGACTCAGATCTAGGTCGAGACACCGAGCCCAGATTGAAATCGACGCCGGTGGAAGTGGAGATTCTCGCCGGTGAAGCAAGATTCGCCGTCGTCTGAAATTAGGTTTAGGGTGTTGTGAGATGCTCGGAGAGTGTTGTGTTTTCACTCTGAGAGTGTTGTGTTTTTTTTTTCCTCGAGTCTTCTCTTTTTTTTTGTTTTAAGACCAAAGCTTATTTTCTTGTTTTTTTTTCTAAGTGTTCGCGGTCTTGGACAAAATTTCACCAAGTGTTGGCGGTACAACGTGATTTTAGTTTCCCGCTTTGCTATTATTCGTCTTAGCGTTTCTGAAACGCTGTGTTATAGTCACAAAACCCTGGGTACCCTATGTAATAGCAATTGAGTAATCAACGCTATCCTATAGTGCTATCAATGCATACTTTTGTTGTAGTGAAATGGACACTCACTAAACCCGAATTTGCTTCAAAATTGTAACATGCACTTATTGGCTGTCCAAGCCTAATAGACAGTTATATGATAATAGATATATACATAAACTTATGATAAACAGATGCATATTGTAACTTTTATATTATGCTTCACCGAATTATCACTTAAATAATACTGAAAAGCTATAATTTATACTTAAATTATTGAAAATTTCCGAAAATCACAAAGTATATTATTGTCCAGGGAGCTGACGAGTTGCTAATAAAGAGATATTGATCGTTAACCTAACCCACCAATTTGTACGCACCATATGATCAAAACCTGTTTTACAACTATCGAGCATACCAAGCACATTTGATTGATAGTGTCTCATATCCGAATAATCACCGCGTAAGTGTGCCATATAAGCACCTTCGAGAAGTTTTTGTACAGCTCTGTACGTTGCCTGGCAATGAACAAGTTGGGTCTTGACAAGAGGATTCTCTGCTTTGGGAATAAATTCATCTCTAATGAGATTACCTGCTGTTGTGGTGATGTACACTGCGTTGAATGCTGCGATTTTCGATATGATCTTGATGTCTGTGTGGGGATTATCGAGTTTCGAGATGATTGTTTGCTCACAATAATAGATGTTCCTGGTGTTGACGCATATGCTATCGATTAGAATCATTGTTGGGGCGTCTGGTGTGATTGGGGTCGATGTGGTCGATGGGATTGTGTGGAGGATGATCAAAGATGTGATCATCAAAGAGATTCGTTGAAGAAAACCCATATTGATTCTAGATGAGTTTTTTTTTTTTTTTGGTTCTTTTTATAAGATATTTTGATACTTGTTCAATATCATTTTATTTTGACAAACAAAAAATAGAAAAGTTGAATATCATTTTCTATATAAAAAGAAGGCATTTATGAGCCATGCATTTGAATGACTTGCCCATATTTTATTCTGTTTTTGCAGAAGAACTTGCCATATAAGTTTATACATTTTTTTACAAAATTTGACTAGATTGTTACAAAATTTGGTATTATTTTAATTAGAATCTTTTTTTTTTGTCGTCTCATTACATCATCACTAGAGATATTTAATCTAATTCTATTATGATGATATTCAATTACCTGCAGCATATGTGATTATGATGAACAGCTCCCATGACACTCGGATCTTCAATGGAAAGTTCTACACATACGACATCCCTACGATGGACATGCTCTCCCCGCAACACTCAGACCACTACGAACGGCTCTGCATGCGGTATTTTGGACCTCCAATAAGGTTTGCACCATTAATCTGCAAGAAACTGCGTTCTCTGGGACTCGAACCCCAGACCTAAGTGTAAAATCTGATTTCAGTTTTCATTTTCTAAAATATAATTATTTATATATCTCTTTTTTCTTGCATGAAAAGTTACGACGGAAATCCTAGGCGAAATGATATATAAAGCTACTTGCTTCATTAACTTTCTTGTTATGCCTGAATTTTGTGAAACTACATTTACATGAATTAGTCTTACCGTACGACTCGTACGTATTAAAGAGACCAATATAATCGTCATTTGGAAGACTTACGAGTTATGAGTCACCTTAAAGCCTGAAACCTTTTTTAAAAAAAACTGAAAGTAAAATTTATTCAAACAAAAAAAAAATTGTTTTACAATAATTGTGACTATAGGACTAAAAGTCTAAAACATTTTTGACTTTAGAAAAAGTGGAAGATTGAGATCGAAAGATATTTTCTTTCATTTTGGGTGAAGGTTATGTAATGAGAGTCTATTAGTTTGACAAGACGAGGTGGTGAAGTAGGAGGTTCTCCATGTCTTCTTCTAGCACCATACCTGATAGAGAGTCGTTTGAAATGCTTACCAGATAGTGAATAGATGTATTCGATCATAGTTAGAACTGTACAATCACTACCCTTTAGAGATTCCAAGATGGAGAGACACAAATGTTATGAATCAGGAAGAAACATATACTAATACCTACTCTCTGACATCAACAACAATGATAAGATTAGTACGAAAGCGCAAGTGCATGTATGAAGAGAAACAATAGGATCATTGCTAAGTTGAAAAACAAACCAACAGTGAGACCAAGGAAAGAAACAGAGAAAAAAAACGAAGCTATACTTACAAAGTCGGCACATGGAAGTTTTCTCTTGTTCCAAGATTCTTCATGCAATAGATAAATATACATGATGATAAGCAAACATCTCTCTGTTTTCATACACAAAGATATTACTTTATCATCAAGATTCATAACCATGTGACTCTGCAAGTGCCACTCTATATTCTTTACTTCACAAAAACGTGAGAATCGTTCTACAGTTCTACAACCATGTGATCCCCATTTCAATTAACTAAGGGTGCCTAAGAACTCTTTAAGATCTCAGTTTAAGGAACAATAGCTTTATAGTTTGTCCTAAGAAACTCAGTTACACAACAATTATGGTAGCCAAAACTTAGATAACCCATAGCGGAAATATACTTATTTCACTAAATGTGACAACTTCAAACATAACTTCAAATATATCTTATTTTGAAACAAAGAGAAAAATTAAACGAAAATATCAGAAGCAACAAATTCTTTAGAATCCAAGTCATCAAACAACATCATCAAATGATAGAGTAGTTCTAGTGGCCAACAACTCAGCCTTCTGCTCCTCTGCTAGAGCATCTAGTTCTGAAAGCTTTTGCTTCAATTTCAGTATATTTTCTTCTGTTTCTTGGAGTCCGGCCATAGCAGACCGCTCTTTCTCCTTCTTTTCTTTTACTTGATCCAGTTTCTTCTCCAACCAATCTACCTTAAAACTCACATCTTTCAAGTATGTCAGCGCAATGTCTGCATCCACAAGATCATCATTGGAAAGCTCCTGAAGTGATTTGCACAAAGTCTCGATCAAGCTGACCAAGAAATTCATGCATGTTGTCCTTAGATGCTGGCTCTTTGCACGGAAGTCAACTGCAATGTCTGGATGTCTTTCAAATATACATCTCACAGATTCTACCTGCGAGTGTAAAAAGGTATATCATATCGAGAGAAACATATGATCTCACTTCTTGTAAAAGTACAAGAAGTTTGCACTATTGTTGATTATATACCTGTGAAGGAAGAACTTGAAACCCATTGACAACCATGGTTTCTTTTACTGATAAAGCTTCCTTGAGCGACTCACTAGACTCGGCACAATCATCATTTAGCTTTATCTTTTTCAGAGGGCGGGTTGACTCTTTAGATTTCACTGACACATCCAATGTGCCAATAACTTCAAGAACATCTACCTCAGCAACCATAATGAGTTCATCATTCACAAGAAATCCTTCATCTTTGTCATGAAGTTTGGTAAGGGGGATCATAGATGGATCCCCCCAGCTCCAATCGGACACCTTATCGAACCAGTGATATCCTTCTGTAGCAATTTATAACAACAAACAGTTTATGTTAATCCAAGTCGATTGTGTCAACAACTTGGCACAATAATAAACTGAAGTAAATCATTCGTATCCCTTAACTACTCTTGACAACGCAGATACTAATTTGCAACATAACAATAACTTTGCTTTCCTATGTTTATATTTCATAAGGATGAAATAATTAGTCTTATCTATATATGTTAAACTAACATGTCGATTACTAGGTATATATGTCGAATAGTTACTATGGTCTATTAAACTAATTACTTTGTATATATGTTACTGACAGTTATGCTGGCAGGGACCATTGAAAAAATCAATCAAGTATTTAGCAGATTTAAGTAAGAATCACCTATTTGTACTGGCCCTTTTTCCGGATCCTGTGGTAATATAGCTAGCCGATATTTTACGTTTCTACTCCATCCGGAAGGCAATGATTCATAATCAACAACTTCCAGAAACAGAGAGAAGTAATCAACGACCTGATTTCCCTTGGGATATGCACAAAGACGCCTGAAGAAAACAAGATGAAACAAGTCATAAAACCATGGATGATAGATTATCTAAATCGAGAAAAAAAACATTGGCAAGTATTAGCTTGTCTTTTTACCATTTGTAGTCACCAATCATGACCGGTACTGAATAAATACACTCTTCAGATTGCAAAGAGGAGAAGTTCTTTATCACCCAAGTGAACTTCTTACCAACATGCTTCGCCATCATATGTAATAAAGATTCCTTCCTATCAAAATACAAGACCTGAAGAAAAAGAAAGCCCCTTTAACTGATTATTACACACACAAATCCATAATCATACACAAATCAAGCAACAAAAATATGAAAAAAAGATTCTCTACAATGTAATCCTAGATTCAAACTAAACTTTTACCCTAAAAGATTGACTAGTTTCCACAGCTAGTAAACGAACACTTTTTAACCTAGATAATCAGTAAGAACACAAGTTGAATTGATGATAGAATCAAACTGCATGACGCAGAAACTGGACGGAAACAAAAAAGAAAAAAAAAACTATGCTTGCCTTGCAAAGGAATTTGTTTTCTTTTGAGTGGAGTTTACTCGCAAGTGTTAAATAAATAAAGAAAATGCATGAA